GAGTAGAATAGCATAGGCTCCTCACTGTTCTGAGTATCTCTCAAGTATCATAGGAGTCCTGATTTGGCACTGTAGGATAAGCACTGGACTACTAACTGCAAGGTCAGTGGTTCAAACTCACCAGCCGCTCCTCAGAAATCCTCTACAGCGCTGCTATGAGTCCAAACCGAACCCTATACAGAGTCGCTATGAGTGGGAACCAACTCCATGGTACCTAACAACAACAACAACAGCAACAACAAAGGATCACAGCCTTCCTATTGCTGCCCCAAACCTCTGATGACAATACAATATAGGATTTTCAACAGTGCTAACAATTGCTATGCACAGAGGAGACATAAGTGTGTTACCAGGAAGTTTCTAGACCTGCTCTGTTAGACCAGTTGTATGGCTCTTTCATCTGTCTCAATAACTGCTTCTTTAGAATCAATATCGTCATTACCTTGGATGTATGTGTGTGTGTATGTGTGTGCGTAAGAAGTCAACCAGGCAATCACAAAAAGCTATCATCCAGTCTTCAGTAATAGTGTACGTGTAAGGAATAAGAATAAATAGAAGTTATTTATAGAGTGCAGACCTTCTGGTTTCATACCATGTTATGCTGTTATTCGCTCACGTTGATCCCATCCACAACTGTGGTGTGTAAGACTCCCCAGACTCTGTTCTTCTAGACTGACAAAGGCAGTGATTAGTAAGACCATTAACAAATAGTGGAGGAGGAAAAGGATATAGAAAAGCAAAGACCTACTTTTGTTACTTCCTCCTCCCTCTTGTTTTCTGCCTGCTTTTTAAAATGGACTTTCTCACCAAAAAATGTGCCACCTTATGGAGGCCCACACATGTTTAGGCTATTTTATTGTGCATTCCCCTATGCCAAGTGGCCCTGAGTAGCAGAAATCCTCGGAGCATCTTGTCTTCCCTTGGACCTTTCTCTGTGAGCAATATGCTCAGCAGTAGGGCATCCTGTCTTCCTCCTGACAATGCCACAGTGTCTCACTTGCATTAGGTCCCACCTACTTTTCACCTCTGAGGCTGTGCTTGCGCTGTAATTAGGATTCGGGGTGCGTTGCTGGCCCGGCTTCCATCCATCTGTTGATAAATTGCAGCTACTGGAAGATTCTGTTTGGAATTGCCAGGCAAATGCTGGAAGGATGGTTTGAAAGTGTGCTTCAGCCAAAGCACAAAATGCCTTCTCCAGCCCCTCCACTGCCACACTCATTACCTCACTGTTTTCATTTAGTTGTTCGTATGCAACCCTTACTTTAGCTCTTGGCCTTTAATTCTTTCTATAGTTTGGCCTGGTCAGAAAATTCTGAACACCTCTCATTTGAGTCGCCTTTCCTTTTATCATTTGAGGTTTTGGAAATTTTCTGTCAAGTTTGCCTGCTTGCCAGGGCTTGTTGATTTCATCCCTCATGCCCCTGCCTTATCCCTCAGGCTGTTTCTTTGACATCTCCCTTCCCACTACTCTTTTTATTCCTTGGTTGTTTCTTGAGGACCAAGCTGCCATTTTCAGTACCCGTCTAGTATGCATGCACTGCTCCAGAAAGATTTACTCTGTTTAGTATTTTGTTCTGGCTGCCTGCCTCCTGCTCCTTCTGCCCACCTTTTTGTGCCTGGAACCCTCTCTCCATTTCCCTCTCCCCATCACTTTCCCTAGCTTGTTCTTACCCATCTTTGAAGACTGTGCTTTACTGCCATCTCTTTCCCTTCCATGGCATCCACCCCTCCCAAGCTGAACCAAATGCCCCATGTATGCTGAGCAGGTTAGGATGTTCAGAGGGTCTGCTTTTAGGTTTGTCCCCTGAGACCCACACCAACACAGACTATGAGGTTCTTGAGAGCAAAGTCCTTGTCTTAAGTATTTCTTTTTCTAGTCCATATTGACTTCTGTGCCGTGTTGGTTTCATTTGGAACTGTTGGCTAAAAAAATATTGTCAAGAAGCTTCAGTTGGTTGCCTCAAATGATTTTCACTACCTAGAAGTATAGTCTGTTTTGGGAAAGCACACCATATCTGTCACCTAGCTAACACTGTATTTTTGTTCTTGTTAAGGACTGTCGAGTCAGTTCTGACTCATAGCCACCCTGTTTAGGGTCTCTGAGGAGCGGTTGGTGGGTTTGAACTGCCGGCCTTGTGGTTCAAACCCACCTTTTGGGCCAGTGCTTATCTTACAGTGCTACACCAGGATTGTGTAGGACAATGATATTTGAATACAGACTGTGAGACATAGCTATTGAAGAAATTAAATTCTTTCAAATGATCTCACTAATTTAGGGTGCACATCCACTCCCGAAAAGTTTTGTTGAAAGCTTGAAGTGACATGAATGTTAGGCTCTGGTATCATAGGCAAATGGCTTAGAAAGGCATCGCTCCCCATCTTGGCTGTCAACTTAATTAAATGCATAGCGACATGTATAAATAGATGTCCATGTAGATGGGCTCCAGGGTTTCTACTAGAAAGGGTGCCTTTTCCTTGAGGCTGGGAAGCCCATTCCCCTAGTTGCAGCGTTGGTGTCTAGGCCAGTGTCAGATATACTCCAGTCCTGTCTGTGTACATCAGCACGCTAGCTGAACTATTTGACATCATCAGAGAGAAGGGCTCTTGGAAACATATACAAAATGGTGTCTCTGATTAAAGATAGCAAGCACTGTCAGTGTCCCCCAGCAGCAGACAAAATCCACTATTCATTTGAAATAGAAGTGTTTTTGTTATGGCAATTAAGCACCATTGTCAGTTTCCATATGCTGAACTGAAAACCCAAGTAGGTCTGTAATTGATGGCTGAAATGGCTGCATATAGCTGTAGTATTTGTTACCAAATCGTCTCCCATATATTTTGTCTGTAAATAACACTGGAGTAGTGCACACATCTATATGGAGCTAAATTTCACCTGAGATGCACATGCACAATTTTCTCTGAGTTCAATGCAAGGCCAAGCACAATTTAGTTCTGTGAATAACAGGCTTTTATCAGCAGTGTGTATATCATGGCTACACGTGTTTTGAAAAAGAAAGTGATTGTTGTCATTTGCCATAGTAAAAAGAGAGCTGTCTCTTGTAACATATTTAAATGATACTATTAGTCATTTATGCCCTCAATAGAAATGCTGTTTCATGTTTACTTATTAAATATAATGGTACAGAGAGAATCTTTTGATGTGCAAAAATCTAAATGATAACTGGATTGAATAAAATTAAAGTGCAGTCACCCCCATGCAGCATGCAGAAACCAAAGGAAAAGAATTTTATGTTCTGTGTCTGTGCTAGGCAACAGTCTGTGAGGTGGCCAAATAAACACGATCAAATACAGAGATTTCTTCAGGGACATCATTGGTGCAGTACTCTGAATGACTTGGGGGAATGGCAGCACTCAACATGGAATTCTCCAGTGTACTGAAAGTGAGAAGGGGAGAATGGGCAACAATCCTTTTATGTTGTTTTTATTAAGTGCCATTGAGTTGGTTCCGACTCATGGAGACCCTAGATGGGGTTTCCAAGAAGCAGCTGGTGGCTTTGAACTACCGACCTTGTGGGTCACAGTCCAGTACTAATCCTACAGTGCCACACCAGGAGTCGTTGTTTCTCTTACAGTCACATGGAATTACACTGTCAGTTTGTTGTACTCTAGTGACTTGTGTGTTGCTACGATGCTTCAAGTTATGCCACCACCAGTATTGTAAATTCCAGCAGGGTCAACCATACTGGATAGGGTTCAATGGAGCTCCCAGACTAAGACAGACTAAGAAGGAGGACCCAGGGAGCCATTTCTGGAAAAAAAGGCCAATAAAAACCTTATGACTAGCAGTGAAGAATTGTCTAAAATAGCGCCGGGAAATAAGCCATGCCAGGAATGGCAAATTTAAGAGGCATTGCATCACATTCGTTGTCAAAAGAGCATTTCAAGATCTATCCTGAAACCTAATGTTGTAAATGATAATATTCATATGACTGGAAGGAAGACCAGTTGATAAGATTATTAATCAAATTTATGCACCAGCCACTAAAGCAAAAAATAAAGAAACTGAAGATTTCTACCAACTTCTTCAGTCTGAAATTGATCAAACATACAATCAAGATGCAGTGATGATCACTGGTGATTGGAATGCAAAAGTAGGAAACAACGAAACTGGAAAACATAGCCTTGGTGATGGAAATAATGCCAGAGATCACATGAAAGAATGATATAGAACCAATGACTTACTTATTGCAGGTACCTGCTTCTCAACAATGTATACGGTGACTGTACACATGGACTTCACCAGATACGATATATAGGAATCAAGTCAACTCGCGAGAGTCAAGCAGAGGTGTTCGATATCATCAGTAAGGACAATTTCAGGGGTTGCTAGCAGAACAGACCACCAAATGCTCATACACAAATTCAAGTTGAGGCTGAAAAAAATGAAAACAAGTCCACCAGAGCCAAAGTGCTGCTTCGAGCACATCCCATTTGAATTCAGAGACTGTCTCAAGAAAACATTTGACACATTGAACACTAATGGCAGAAGACAAGACAAGTTGTCGCCAGACATCAAGGACATCATACATGAAGAAAGCAAGAGGTCATTAAAATGTGTTTTCAAAATCGTTTTGCTAATGCTTAAAGCTAATGACACTTCAGTAATAGTACACACACTGAATGCTCAGATCTCGGTTGTTAAATGCAATTTTGCTTTAAAAGGATTCCTTGCACAAAAGCTGATTTTAAGATTAAAACAGGAATAGTACAAGATTATCCAGAAACATGACGAGGACATGTCAAAAGGTTCTACCTTAATGGGATGCTCACTAGTTGAGGACAATTTTGAACACCAAAATACAGTGAAACTGGATCTGCATCCTGCTGAGAGTTGCTTGGAGTTTCCTCTCTTCTTGCCTTGCTCACAACATGGCAGACAATGCTGATGGTGCTGAGACCCAGCAGGAACTAGACTCCCTTATGTTACCACATTTGCATGCAGCTAAAGTGGTTTTTGGTGGATGTACCAGGTCCTGTAGACTGTGGGTATAGTAGACTCCAGGGCCCTAGCCAAAATCACAATCTTCAGAACATCCAGGGTACAGAATCCTGTGAAGAGTTGGATCCTGGCTGAGGCGTTGTGGCACCAGAAACATCACTGAAATGAGAAGAGGAAACAACTTGAGACATTCTCGAGGACTCATATTTCAGGTCATCAGACTCCCAGCATCCCGTTGTTTAAGAGAATATAAGTATACTCGGGAGTCTAATGAGCACAGTCCTGCTTCTATCACTAAAGCTGAAGAGAAACAAGAAGCCTTACATTTATGTTTCACTGTCCTGCGTTTTGATGAATAGTGGTTTGATAATTTTGTTGCTTAAGCACAACAATTGTGAGTATGACACAGGACCAGGCAGTGTTCCATTCTGTTGTGCATAGGGGTTGCTATGAGTCAGAACTGACTCGATGGCATCTAACAATAATTTTGTTGCAAACATGAGTTTGTTGAACTCTTTGAATAAAGAAATGAATTTCCTTGCTCTTTTGGTACAATGGCATTAAAATCTCTGCTAAGGTACAAAAAATATTAAAACATAATACAGTGAGACCTGTGAGCACCAGAAAAGGATGGGTATCTCAAGGTTTCTGCCTTGTTTTAGGGAAAAGAAATGGAGTTTTTCTTCTCTGATAAGTTTCTTCCTTACACAGGTTCTGGCTTTCACAGGTTTTACTGTGCATACTGGTAAGAAAGGGTTATAGTGCAATGAATGAAATACAATCCCACGTAACCGTCAAAGAAATGATGGAATTAGAAAATCACCTTTTGTACCACTGTAACAATTGATTCCATGGAATCATCCAAAACAAACAAATATGCTGCCATAGACTCAATTTCAACTCCTCGTGAGTTTTTAAGGTACGTTCCCATTGTAGAGTGTACTTCAGTACTTTTTATAAATGAATACTATTTCATTGTATGGATATACCACATTTTATTTGTTAATTAATTGGTATACAAGCATTTGAGTTTTTTCCAGTTTCTGTTTATTAAGAATAATACTGCTGTATACATTTATATACAGGTTTGTGTATGAACATAGGTTTCACTTCTCTTGGGTGTATATCTAAAAGTGTGGTTGCTGGATCATGGGTTACACCAGGTTTAACTTATTGAGGAATTGCCAAATTGTTCTAGACTCCTGACTCCAATGCATGAGAATTCCATAATCTCCATTTCTTCACAAACAGTTGTGATTATTTGTCTTTTTTAAAAAAAATATTATTATGGTCATCGTTTTCTTGTTAGGTGGCATTGAGTCAGGTCCAACTCAGAGCAACCCTAGGTAAAACAGAACAAAACACTGCCTAGTCTGCACCACACCACTGCTGTGTTTGAACGGACTGCTGCAGTCACTATGTCAGTACATCTCATTGAGGGTTCTTTGTTTTCATTGGTCCTCCCTTCTACAGGGACTTCTATCTCCTCATATCGTGTCCAAAGCGTGAGACAAAGTCTCGCCATCCTCACTTCTTCCAAGATAGATTTCTTAGTTCTTCTGGCATTTCATGGTATATTGAATATTCTTTTCCGGCACCATAATTCAACAGTATCATTTTTCTTTTAATATCTTACTTATTCATTTTCTAGCTTTCACATACATATGCGATGATTGAAAGTACCACGACTCAGGTCTGGTGCACCTTAGTCCTCAAACGGACATTTTTGCCTTTTAACACTGTAAGGAGATCTTTTGCAACAGTATCTCATTTGATTTCTTTACTGAAGTTTCCATGAGCATTGATTGTGGATCCAAGTAAAATGAAATCCTGGACAACTTCAATCTTTTCTCCATTTATTATGATGTTTATTGGTCCAGTTGTGAAGATTTTGTTTTTCTTTATGTTGATAAATAATCCATATTGAAGGTAGTAATCTTTGATATTCATCAGTGAATGCTTCAAGTCCTCTTCACTTTTAGCAAGCAAGGTTGTATGTTCTGCATATCACAGGTTGTTTGGAGCCTACAACCAATCCTGATGCCACGTCCTTCTTCATCTAGGCCAACGTCTCTTCTTTGCTCAGCATACAGAATGAATCGATATGGTGATAAGGTACAGCCCTGACACACACCTTTCTGAATTTTAAGCCATTCACTATCCCTTTATTCTGTTAGAAGAATTGCCTCTTGGGTTCCATACAGTTTCCACAACAAGTGTTCTGGAATTTCCATTCTTCCCAGTGATATCCATAGTTAATTATGATTCACCCTGTTGACTACCTTTGTATAGTAAATACAGCATAAGTAGACATCTTTTGGGTATTTTCTTCTTTCAGCCAACATCCATCTGATGTCAGCATACTCTTCTGAATCAATCCACATACTCTGAATCTGTCTTGATTTTTGCCAGTCCTCTGTTCATGATGTGCTGCAACCATTTTTGAACTAAAAATGGTTTTCATTTTTGAACCCCCCCCAAAAAATTTTTTTTAAACTTCAAAAAAATTGACTTCCATGTGATATCAATGATGATATTCGACAATTTCTGCATTCTGTGTGGTCATTTCTCTTCCAGTTGTTAGCTAAGTAGCTGTCTTCCAAATTTTTAGCACAGATAAGTGAGCACTTCCAGCATTGCATCCATTTGTTGAAAAATCTCAATTTGCATCCCCTTGACTCCTGGAGCTTTGTGTTTTGCCAATTCCTTCATGTATCTTGGGGTACTTCTTTTTGTATCATAGGTTCTTGATCATATGTCATCTTCTGAAATAGTACCTAAATTATTTTTTGTATTTTTCCATCTTTATTTTTTATGCTTCCTGAATTATTTGATATTTTGTTATAGAATCCTTAAGTATTACAAATAGAGATCTGAACTTTTATCTTCAGGTCTTTGAACTTGAGAAATACTGAGCATGTTCTTACCTTTTGGTCTTCGAACTCCAGGTCTTTGCATATTTCACTATAATACTTTGTCTTCTCAAGGCACCCCTTGAAATCTTCTGTTCAGTTCTTTTGCTTCATTATTTGTTTCAGTCACTTTAGCTTCTCTATGTTCAAGAGCAAGTTTTAAAGTATCTTCTTACATCCACTTTGGTCTTCTTTTTTTTCTTATTTTTAATGACTTTATGCTGTCATCCCATAACTCCTCTGGTGTTTGGTCATCCGAAGTTAGCTAATGCATCAAATATTCTCTTGAAATGATCTCTAAATTCAGGTGGGATGTATTTGGGGTCATATTTTGTGTCTCATGTACTGGTTTTAATGTTTTTCAGCTTAAGCCTGAACTTGTATATGAGCAATAGACGGTCTGTTCCACAGTCAGTCCCTGGCCTTTGTTTTGGTTGATGATATGGTGCTTCTCCTTTGTCTCTTTTCACAGATAGTAGTTGACCTGACCCCTGTATATTCCATCTGTCAAGGTCTGCTTATATGGTCACCAGTGATGTTGTTGAAAACAGGTGCTTGCTGTAAATAGGCCATTGTCCTGCAAAATTCTATCATATGATCTTCTATAACATTAAGAAATCTGGTTCCCATTAAGCACCATATCCTGATGTGGCACTTCAGGATAATGCACTGGGCCAAAAGGTCAGAAGTTCAAACCCACCAGCTATTCTTCAGAAACCCTATGTAGAGTCACTATGAGCTAGAATTGACTCGAAAACATGTAACAGTAATAACAATAAAGAATACAAAAAGTAATCTCAAATTTGCTGACCCATGGGACTCTGAAGCAAAGAACTTGGTGGTGCAAATGGTTAAATGCTCGACTAGATCGGTGGTTCGAACCCATCATGGGCATTGTGGGAGAAAGACCTGGTGATTTAATCTCATACAAAAGCAGCCAAGAAAACCCTGTGACGGTAGTTCTATTGTGTCTCATGGAGTCAATATGAGTTGGAAACAATTTGAAGGCCGTCAAGAACAATAGCACAACTTACAGTACAAAGTTTGTCTTTAGAATACAAGTGTATAGTCCAAAGACTGTGCAGAAATTGCCTGGGTTACTTCTATGCTCCTTTATTCTCAGTGTGGTTGTGTTATTCATTGAATATATTGTCCAGTTCATTTGTCTTGCTTTTGGGGGCTTTGTTGCCCTATCTTTTTTTATTGTCTCTTTTGAAATCATTGTGAAGCAATACCACGGTTCCAAAGGTCAGAACTTGTTCACTGAACAATCTATCCACATCAGTTCGTAGAGGTTGCCCTCATTTTTGAGCTTGTTTAATTAAACAAGTTTCTAGTAAAACAATCTCAAATGGTTTGTTGCTTTTATTTTGAACAAAAATGAAATAGTTTTATTTTTCACTTTGTAACTTATCATGAAATCTTGGGGTCTGGGACATTTTGTAGTAGAAATAATAACAGCCTTGGAAACCCTATGTGCAGGGACACTGAGTTAAAACCAACTCGACGGCACATAACAACAGCAACAACAGAAATAATAAAGGGAATATTAGTACCCAAGAAAGAAAACTATAAGCATGGCTGATGCAGTAATTGAATAATCAAAAGGATTTTAGAAATGGAATTTTATTATGTCTGCTTACCAGCTGTTAAAGTGAGGAGCCAAGGGCAGCTTGACCTAGTTATTTGTCCCAGAGGTTAAATTAAATCATCACTTTTTGTACTGAGTATATGCTTGGTGCCAAGTGAGATTTAGGACATAAATGAACTATGAGCCACAGCCCTTGATCTTAAAGAACATTAGATCTAATTGGAAAAACAAGGCAAACATGTACAAAAAGAAAACCAAATATTTCAAGAACATAGTCGGGCAGTTCCAGAATATTAGGTAATTTGACAAGTAGATTGCATCAACTTCCAAGGAGGTAATTGCTATTCAGAGAATCAGTGAAGAAGTCTGATGGCTGACCTGGTTGGAGGAGGTCTCAAAGATGAATTGTCATTTGAGATAGTTTCAGAGAGCACATGGGTAGGAGAAGGTAAGGAGAAACCATACTAGAGGTAATATGTTCCAGTGATTTCAAGGGGATCCCCAAAGCAAGACTGGCTAGATTTCAGTACTGACACATCCATTTGTTAGCTGTGCAATTGGGTTCAAGTCACTGAACCCTCCAGGTGTCAATAACCTTCATGTCTAAAATGCATAGTGATCTTGTGGAGCTTCAACTAGATGATCCACCACCTCTTTAGC